CCGTGGAAAAAAATGTTTGGATATATCCTAGAGTATTATTCTCACAGGGTTGAAAATAACCCCCTAAGTATGTACCTGTGTAATTCATTAAGAACTTCATTAAAGAATAATCTCATTTCAGATCAAGAGCAAATCCACAAATTGTATTGATGTTGTGATGGCTAATCTCCATTGTCAACTGCATTGGATTAAGAAACACACAAAGAAAGCATTACAGAGGCACACCTTTTAATGAGTCTGTGTGGCTGTTTCCAGAGAGATCTAAGAAGGAAAACCCACTCTGGATATGGGTGACATCATCCCATGGGCTGGAGTTCCAGACTGAATATAAAAGGAATTTAAAGATAAAGCCAGCTGAGCACTGCTTTCCCCTTCTCTCCTTCCTAGTGGGCTCTGTGGACCAAGCCACTCCCATTACTGTGCCTTATTTGGTGTGACAGACTACAATACTCTGAACTGTGAACCAAAATAAACCATCCCTGAAGTTATTTTTTTCAGGTATGAGAAAAGTAACTAATAAATTGTCCTAATTCGCTTTTACTCTCAATGGTACAGCCTAGAGTCACCTGAGACAAGAATCCAAATTGAAAGATTTCCAGATCACACTGACTTTCAGTCATGTCTTTGGGGCATTGTCTTGATTGTTCATTGATGCAGGAGGGCCTAGGCTACTTTGGGTGACACTATTCCCTGGACAGGTGGTTCTGGCATGTACATAAAAGCTAGCTAAACATGAGTCAGTGAGCAGGTCAGCAAGCAACATTCCTCCATGGTTTCTGCTTCAAGTTCCTGCTTGAGTTCCTGCCTTGACGTCCCTCAATAATGGACTGTGACCTGGAGGTTTAGGCCAAATAAATCTTTTCCTCCTTTAAGTTGCTTTTGGCCAAGGTATTTATCACTACAACAGAGATGAAACTGGAACAGATATCATCTACAAGAAGATTTTGTTTGTCTTAATACTTGTATATGCATATCTATCTTAACGAAAATAATTATTACTTCCTTCTGCTAGCTAACTTTCTCAAAAAGATTAATAAGATGATGGCATGAACTATTTGATTGTCAAACTAGTTGATTACATTTAACTGGTTCTAAGATGTAAACTTTATAAAACGTCTTAATACTCTAAATGCAAGTTTCATACAATTGAAGTCACTACTTCATTGAAAGCAGTTTTTCTTACAATCTCTAAAATATAATTCAATAAAATAACATCTCAGCTTACATTTTTGGCATCATTCAGTGGGAGCCACTAAGTGTGTCCCAGAAGGAAGGAAAAACTTGACACATTATCAATTCACACCATATGAAGTGATTCATCAGCATGCTTCATAGGAAGCTCTACCCTGATGGATGGAATCTCCCCCGTATCAATATCATTTTAAAAAGTATTAGTTCTTATTTTACGTGTATGAGTGCATCCATGTCATGCATTGGCCATGGAGGCCAGAAGAGGACATCAGATCCCCTGGAACTGGAGTTACAGACCATTGTTAGCTGCCATGTGTCGCTTTGTCTTCTGCAAGAACAGTCAGTGCTCTTAACCATGGAGACCTCTCTCCAGCCCCATCATCTACATTTTAGTTCACATAGATTAATGTCTGTCAATATGTATCTGAATCATTAATATGTACAATTCAGGAGTTTTTCTGAACACTAGGATTACAGTTGTGTTCACTGTACCCAGCAATGTATAATTTATTTTTAGGGCTCAAGATCATATATACTAGGCAAGCGTTCTAGCACTGATCTACATCCCCAACCCTGAATCATGGGATTTCAAGGCTGGGTCAAACCATAAAAATATCTTCTAGATGTTAAAACTAAAATTTACTTAGATTTGATGAGCAGATTCTCTCCTTCAGTTTATATAAGAGACTGTTGCCCTAGAGAACATTAGAATATGTCATTAATTTAATTATCCTAGTCATCATTTTTATGTCAGGCTGTTACAAAATTTCAGAGGGAAATACACAGAATTTATCACTTCCTAGTAAAGATGGTTTTAACCTAATAAATCCCAAAGAAGAAAGTAGACAACCGATTGCTCATTCTGGAGTAGTAAACAAGGGCCGGACCTAGAGCTCAGCTCACCTTGGCGGACTGCTTGCTTAGTAAACACAAAACACCACACAAACCAGGTTTAGTGTATTGCCGATGCTCAGAGGGTGGAGGCAGGGGGATTAGAAACTAAAAGTCATCCTTAGCTACATAATGACTTTGAGGCCACCCTGGGGTACATGAGATTCCACCTCAAGGGTTTTTTATAAAAAAGGAGTGGAAAAAGAAATTATCTTAAAATTTAATATGTATCTTCTAAAGAATTCAGATTTCTTGTAAACCTCCCAGATTACATTTAAGAGGGTCTTGTGTGGTATTTGTTATATTATGCCTCATCTCTAGCCTACACACTGGAAATAGTCCTCAGTAAATAATATTCTAAAGATTTAAAAAATCATGCTGTTGAGGAACATTTGAAAACTCTTTATACCACAAAGATTGAAATAAATATCTTTGAAGGCAGGTAAGATGACGCCACAGGCAAAGGTGCTTCCTACCTGAGTTCCATCCTCAGGGCTTATAAGGTGGAGAGAACCAACTCTTGCAAGTTATCCTCTGACCTCCACATATGCATGTGTGTGCCCACAAATACAAGTCTTTGAGATAAATAATCTTTCAAAAGTTTATATGTAAGATTAACACCTCACTGATGCAACTTTATACATTCGCTTAAGGGGAACACTTCCTAAAAATTAAGATAATGACAATCTACAAAGGCAGTATTTTTGTACACACCATCTTTTAGACAGACCTTTATTAATATTCTTGGAAACCATGAATAATTGAATTTAAATTATATTCTCAAATCCAAAATATTTTCTGGCATAAACATTGTTACATGAAAATATATTCTTGATAGAGAACTGAAGTATTTAACCTGTAATTCTTTCAGCAGGCTAAAACTTGCAGGTGTGGTAATCAAAACCATAAGGGAAACACCTTTTAAGAACAGTGTGCCTTATCTCCTATTCAGGATTCAAGGACTTTCTTTTCCCCCTACAGATAAGAGTTATGCAATTTGGGAGTCTTTTAGACAGATCCACTGAAGGGGTACGCTAATTGCCTCACCTTGTGTCCCTGTTCAGCATGGAAGAAGCCAGAGCGTTCTGCGGCCCTATTCCTTACCTGCAAGTTGGGTAACCTCTTCAGAGGATGGTGTGATAAAGAGGTAGAAATTGGTTAGGCAGTTAGGGTAAAAAGACCTCAAAGAAAAGTAGCCAGTTTCTTGGCTAAAACTCACAATGTCCTTGGGCCTCTTAGCAACATACTCCATTCCAAAGGCCAAAAATATTGAAAGCATTTGGGAGCTTTTATCTAATCCTTAAAAGAGTTTAGGGTTACCTCTTCAGAGGGGGAATGTTAGAGCCGTCAAAAGCCCCATAAAAAAAAATTAAAGAAGAAAAAATAAGAGTACATGAAGTTATCAGAAAAAAGTGATGGAGAGATATGGGAGGAGTTGGGAGGGAGTGGGCATAGATTTGATAAAAACACCTTATATGCATGTATGAAATTCTCAGTATTTTAAAAAAACAATGCCTTGGAATGGAGTAGACAGAGGAGGGGTGTTAAACATAGCAGCATAAACATAACCCAGATAAATGAGTATAATATTACAATTTTAAGGAACTGAAATTCCTAAAACTGTGCCTTACCTTTCTACTCTCTGTGTGTGCTATCACTTAGGGTCTGGCATTTTACTTTAAACATTAGTGCTATTCAAAAATATGTATGCCATTTATTATTAAATAGTGTACATTTTATAGTACTGGCTTTTTAATTCTTGATCAGAATCCTCTTCCAGCTACATGTCCAATGACAAATATTTTGGATAGCTTTCCCGGAAAAAGACCCAGAGACTTGCCCTGATTTCTCTCTGCACAAATAAAGGAGCATAAATTGAGCACTAAATAATCTTTATTCAAACCAACCATCAGAAAAAGAAAACATTTTTAACAGTGTCAATCTCAGGTGTTTCCATGTCTTGGAATTGTACTTTGCTTTTACTTTGAAGACAAGTAATCATTGTTTTGTAATAAAAAGCTTACATGCGAAGTAGCGTTCGTATCTTTATCCGGAAGATTTTCTATTTGTTAGCAATTTGAATTGAGAGACATTTTGGTCATCTACATCAGTAAATCTTGTGTTTGCAAGCGCATGTTACAAAGCTCTGACTTTTCAAAGTGAAATAGAACCACGTGAAATATGAGATCTGTGTGTCAGTAATTAGCCGGAAATATTGGACATCATGAAGTGTTGCATGGGCCATGTCCTCCGAGCACAATCACTTCCACATTGTGTTTCACACTGTAGCAAATTAATCACCAGGAAAATTGCATTGAGTTCTGACCTCGGAAATGCTGGGCTTCATCGCGAGCCCCCTTCCCCACAAACAAAACAAAACAACAAAAGCCTGAAAAAAAAAAAAAAGTCAGCTGGTTGCTGGGAAGGAGTCTGACTCAAATGCATTTTCGTGGTGGGGCGGGGAAAGGCTCAAACGCCAGACTTTCATCCGAGACTCGCAACCTTGGCTTTTTAAAGATCTTTTTTGTTGTTGTTCCTTTACAGATGAGAAAAATAACTTCTCGGTACTGGCGTACGGAGTACTGGAGCGTCACAAAGGAAAGCAGAAAACCTATTAGTAGCGTCGCTGCGGTGAAGTGCATCTTTCCTCTTCCTCTGAATAACCTCTCGAAATTTTCCTTCTGGAGTTGGGCTTCGGCTCCAGCACAGCTGGAGGACTTCGGCCACAAGATGGCACTGACCTGCAGACAAAGGAAATCGCAGTGGCACTGACTTTTAAAACAGGCTTGTAAATGTGCCTTCCCGGAGTCGAGGGCTACGTGGGGAGGAGGGCTTGCCACCCTCTGCTCCGTGCGTATGGGTCTGACAGTTTGGCTTACGTTTAACTGCCTTTCTTTCCAGAATTCCTAGGCAACGCACCCCCGAGGTGTGGTGTGCATCCCAGGAGATGAACTGTTGGGAGGAGGGTGTGGGGGAACGTTGGGCGCTCCTCGTGGGGTGCCGTCACGTGATCCGGGACGAGGTGGAGTTCGGCTTTAAGGGGGCGTCTCTTCCTATCTTCCTCAATCTTTAGGATTTGAGCAGGAGAAATACCGACGGATCTTTCGTCCCTTCTTTACACCCTTCCCTCTTTAATACAGGGGAAAAGACGTTTCAACGAAGGTAAGTTTCAAGTTGGTGTTCTTAAGAGACTTTTCAGGAATCTTACCTGTAGGGTGGAGGGATGATAGAAAGATGCGGGTATCTGGATCCGGTTGCGGGAACTGACTGGGGCTTGGAGTCAGCCTTTTGCTTTGGCTCCCAGTGTGAGCTGGTGGCAGGATGTTCTAGACTGTGGGACACTTCTGGGGCATGTACCTATGGATGTAGGGCCAGGCCACGCTGGCAAAAGGAGAGGGTACCATCTGAGTTTGCACATCCCGCATCCTGCTGCTGAGGGTTCGAGGTGGGGATCCAAGTTTTCCTCTGTTCTAGCTCTCTTAGAAGCAGGAGGAGGTGTTCTTCTTCCCTCCTCCTGGGTCCTCTTCCCCATTTTTCTGGAGTGCCAGGAGGAGTTTTCTTAGGGTACCCTGCTGGGATGTGCTGGGATGCGCTGGGCAGGGGTGGGGTTCGGCGGGTCGTTACCCTGTCTTTGGGTCCCGCTGCGCTTGTCCCGCTGGTCCCTGTGGCTGGCAGAGGTGCAGGCTGTCCCTAGGATGCGGACTTCAGAGCGGGCACGCCCCTCCCCCACTTGTATGACCTGGAATGGACCCTCCCTCTCCCCAGTAACCCTGTTCAGATCACTTCCAGTCTGTGCATAAGCCCTGCAAGACACGCTGAGCCCTGTCCTCCTTTTTCGGAGTTTTAATCATAGAACACTACAGCTTCTTTCAAAACGGTAATCACGCTGGGTTAGGGTATTGGGGATAGATTGGAGGCAGAGGTAGTAGGTTGTTGAGCTCGTAGGTGGGGAGATTACAGAGACCTTGGTGTTTGAAGAACCCTTGCAGGGCTAAAGAGAAAGAGAACTGACTTTGGACTTGGGGCCATGCTTGTTAGCTTAGGACTGTCGTAGATACCTTCTTTTTTTGCCAGTCTCTTGTCTAGGTAGAGACTCTTTGATAGATGGGTGGGAGTCTCTGTGTGTATGTGTGTGTATAGGGTGAGGAATGGGACAGAAATCTGAGCAAGTCACATAGTTACACAATATGAAAAAGATCGGTGGTGAGACAGGAGTTGGAATGCATCCCAGTTCACTCTTTGGTAAGTCCTGGAGCATGGGCAGAACCTCCGGGAGGGAAGAGGTGGGCAGAGGGAGTGGAGGTAGAGTGTGTCTCCACGATTCGATTCTTTTTTGTTGCTTTTGTTTTTTGAGTGCTCTGTGATTTGCCAGGCACACCTGGGTCTTCTGAGAAACATAACCCCTCTGGGTGATAACACAGCAGAAGGAGATGCAGGGCTTGTGTGTTTGTTGGCCCTGGGGCACTAGAACTGAGAACAGTAGCATTCAGGTCTCACAGTCCTGAGCAGGCTCCAGCTCACCCAGGAAAGAGACAGAGGGGGAGAGAGAGAGAGAGAGAGAGAGAGAGAGAGAGAGAGAACTGCAAAGAGCCTAATTTCCCATCCATCCTAAAGATGGGTGCTCTGAAGTCGCTGCCACATACTAGCCTTACTTGTCGTCTTAAGGCAGCTGTCTGTTGAACAAGCCCTTCCCCCAAGCCTGGAAGGATCAAGGAATTATGTAACCCATTTAGATAAGCTAGCAGGAACTTTGGCTGTATGTCTTGTCTCAAAGCTAACCTTTCTTTTTCAAAACAAGTGAGCAAGATTGAGTGTATTTGATATGTAGATCAATGTATACATATATACATATGTATCTATCATCTATCTATATTATCTATCTATCTAATGTAATCAGGTTTTGCCCAAAGAGCTGTATTTCCTGGTAGGACCCACACTGCAAACAACAGTGAAAGCCAGCATGCCTATTGGAAACAAGATTCCCTTCCCTAGGGGGATTATTTTCCCAACTGGTAGTGTATGTAATGTCTAATATCTCTGTTTCGTCTCTGAATGCACATGACAGCTCTATCGAGAACAAAGTCTTTAATTTTTGGAAGACTTGCAGTTGTACAACAACTCACTGTACAGATATATCACAGAAGAGGAAATATCAAATTGTTTTCTTTCACAAAGATGTGTAAACTCTCGCTTAGAAGTGGTATTTTTCTGATTATTATTCTTTCTTGAAATTATACTAAGATTAAAAAAAACATCATATGCATTGTATCTAACATAAAACTGTTTCACACAATTAGGAAGACTATTGATCCTGCACTTAACAAAAGAAGCTTGCAAACTTTAAAAAAAATGAAATTTGCCTTGTCTGTGTAGATTAATTAATTGGCTTTTATTTAATAGGAAAACTGTTCTTCATAGGATTTGTCTATCCAAGGTAATTTCAAAGGTATCAGAATATAATTGTGGTGGTATGTTTACTGAAACTCATTTGTAAGAGAATCATCTTTACAGCTCATGGATTGAAATAATTATTAAATATTTGCATGAATTCCATAGTTGTCAAAGTAGACTGGATGTAAAGTTTCTCTTTTCTTTCTGCCCACTGCAAACACAATGCACTGGGCTCCATTTCCTCCCCCTTGGGTTGTTGCAAAAGCCTCTTGAATGAGTCTCCCTGCTTCTCTTTCCATTCTTAAATGTGCTTCAAGCAGTAGCTAGAGCGAAAACTTTTTTTTTTTTTTTTTTTGCATCTTTTCATGTGTTGAGGGGGTTGCACCTGGAGGTCAGAGGATGACTTATAGGAGTTGGTTCTCTCCCCCATGGATTCTAGAGATCGAACTCAGGTTGTCAGGCTTGGCGGCCAGCACCTTTGCTCACTCATCCATCCTGCTGTCCCCTAGAGTAACAACTTCATGTTTGCCAAAGGTTCCTTGAGTCTTGGAGTAAAAGGCAAAGACCACCCCATTAAACTCCTGCACTGCCTGCCCCTTCTCCCGTAGTCTTCCCAGTTAACTCCCTCTAGTCCACCCTGCACTTCTGCTTTCCTTGCTGCTTACAGGGCAGGTACACTTCAGCCTTACAGAGTCTTCATGGGGATGCTACCCCAGGAATGCTGCTTAGCTTCCTAGCCCCCCACTATTGTCTCTCCACTGTCTTTACTCACATGCCAGGGTCGCAAGTGGTCAAATGCTTCCTTACCACCCAGGATTAACTGTATTTCCCAACAAACCCAGTCTCCTTTCTCTGTTCACTGCTCACAATACTTGTCAACCTAGGATATTAGGTCTGTATTTTTTCTCATCTTTCTCTGTCCACAAGACTAGAAATGCAATGAAAAGGCCATTGCTCTCTCCACCAAAACCATGTCTGACAAGAAATAAGTGTTAAATAAATATTTGTTGGATGAATGAATGTTGCTTTAGAAAGAGTTCTTTTTAAATATACAAAATGTAAATATTTCCCCAATCACCTGACCTAAAACAATGACAATTAAAATAGACTAGAATGAGTATTCTAACTTGTTTTGCATAAGATCCATAGATCCTGCCATCAATGTTGAGACTGACTTTTAAAAAAGCTATTCCAACTACGCACCTATTATAATGATGAACATCCTACGAAGATCCTATGAAGTATGCACAAACCTACCTAAAGACACTGTATTTGATTGGATGGGAGCTAATTAAGACTTCTAGGGACTAATGAAGATTTGATGGAGGGGTAGAATTTGGATTGTTGAGGAGATAGGACACCTAACAAATGCTAGGGGTAGGACACCTAACAAATGGTAGGGGTGAGGATGTGGAACTCTATTTGGTAGACTGGGAATAAACTGGACTGCTTAGAACAGAACAGAACATTGAGGCTATTAGAGAAAAGAGTGGAAGGAAGGATATAACCTGGAGCATCTTTAAGTTCCAGGCTGAGGGGTGTCAACAATCCATACTTCATGCACTTCCCAATAGACTCCCCATCCTCCTGGTGGAGCTCAGTGATAAGAAAGCAAAGCAAGGCCGTAGGTATTGAGAATATACTTTGCTACTGTGCTAGTATTACTTTAAATAGTAAGGAAAAACTAACTAGTAACTTTAAGAGGAAGGTATGATGCTAAGTTTACTTGACTTCTTGAAGGTAAATAGCTTTCCAAAACTTTGAATGATTACCCACTTCCTCAAGGTTTGCTCTCACTCCCTGACTGATATTAATTGCTAATGTTTTCCTTTGCTTTGGAATTCTTGAGGGAAAACATGTGGTTATCCCATAAGTATCAGGGAGTCATGTCAGATTGCATAGAAAATTCTGTTTCTAATGGTGTCCACATGATGTCGTTCCATGACTATGCTTTAATGTTATCTTTTTATTTTGTGAAAGTTCATATATTTATTATTATTATTATTATCATCATTATTATTATTTATGTGTAGGAGTGTATTGCCTACATGTATGTAAGTGCACCTGTGCTGTACAATACCTGTGGAGGTCAGAAGAAGGCACTGGATCCCTGGAACTAGAGTTTTGGACGGTTGTTAGCTGGCGTGTGGGTGCTGAGATTCAAACCTGGATCCTCTGTAAGGGCAGCTAGTGCTCTTAACCTCTAAGCCATCTCTCCAGCCTCAGATAACCCAGTTTGATAAGGTCAAGTTGTGATTTCATAATAGAAAAGACCTCACATTCTAGAAAGTCAAGTCCCTGGAAGAAAGGTTTGCTAGAGCCACAGCTTAAGAGGCATGTACACTTCTGTTCATTAAATTTCTCATTTTCTTTTTCATGGAAATAAATCTACACAATTTTCTTCTTTGTTCTAAAACAAGGAAGAAAGACAGACAATTCAGTCTCTTAACACCGGCACAATAGTCAGTTAATTAGCATAAGAAATCCTGTCTCATGT